GGAAGGAAGTGAACCTAGTGTTTCTCGTGATGGAGAGATAAAGAAGCTGTGTGATCAGATAAGGGCTGGCCATGGGTTGCACTGGGAAGGATTTACGGGGGTATGAAATTGGCTCTGTCCCTGAGGGAAGAGTGGGCGGGCAGAGGGTCACAGATGGCAGGCGGGAGCTCTTCCCTCTGCAGGTGTGCCTGCACTGCTCTCCGTCCTGGTTTCTATGACCCTGTCTGCTGCTGAGACTGGTGGTCTCAGATGCTGTCCCCTCAGGTGCCTGACAGCTGGCAAGGCCCACACTATGCAAACTTACTCCTCAGTGGGCAGGAGTGCTGTGGTTTAGAGACCCATCTTTGAGTCTCCAGCAAAAGCAGTGAGCTGCAACTTCCCAAGCCACCGTGGCTGACATATGGCCTTCATCACCATCTTTAACCAGCAGGGTGGATGCTGATTCCTTTTGTAAAGAAAATGAAACTCAAAGTAATGCCCTCAGCAACTGAGGAGGTCCACCAGTGCTGACCAGCCTGACAACATCCTCCACAGGACAAGGAACATACTCCTACAGTTCCCTTGTTTACTTCTGTAATGCAGCTTGCCACAAATCTGAATAAAACCATCATGGCCATTTTGAAATTAATCTCTTTGCATTCCACTCCTGTCATGGTTGTTACCTGCCTCCTTTTCACTTTGAGTGATTGTAGGAATACTAGTCGGCATTTTGGGATAGTAAGGGGTTTTTCCTAAGAAACCATGTTTAAATGGAAAGGTCCCCAGGCCTGCTAGTTTGGCACAATGTCATTGGTAATGGCACTGGCTGCTTAGACACTTTAGCTCACATTCTGACCTGGCCCTTCATTCCGTTGATGTTGGGGCCACATCCAAAGTGTAGAAGTCTTTTCCTGCACATGCTGCAGTTATTGATAGTGGTAGCATGATTTGAAAATATTTCTAAGGCATACCATGTACAGGTAGCATTTTTTTGTACGTGTGAAAACTTTAAAAGAGCCCATCCTCCTGGCTTCCTGTTGTGCACTCCTAAATAAACCCCACACGTGCAGGTGTCTAGTTAGTTTTACAAAGCAGGGAAAGAGAGAGAGCTGGGAGTTTTCCTCTGTACTAGGCAGGGCGAAGTACCTGAGGAAATTCAGTGGGCCACAGGTAGGGAACGGTTGTGGCCATACAGCTGGATACCGGGACGACCCCACATGCCCTGGTCAGGTTCTAAGCCCCTTCCCTCCCCCCGTGGAGAAGAAGGTCTGTGCATTGGGAAGGCTCGTGTTAGGAGTAATTAAGTTGGTAGGGTAGAGGACTTAGGGACCATAGACAACATCCCTTGTAGCCTGGGAGCTGAGGGCTGGGTTTTTTGTTTGTTTTTGTTTTGTTTTTTAATCTCTATATTTAAAATAGTGTATGCTTTTGTGGAGTTAATGGCACTAATATACTGTAGATCTCTCCTTTTCTTGTTTGCTTAATCCCCTCAGTTGAGGGAGACACAATTGAAACATTAGAAAGTAAAAATTATGCTTTATTCAGGATGCACAGAGCCTCAGCCCCCACTGGAGCTGTTTCCTGTGGCATTGAGCTCATCTTGCCCTTGAAGAATAGTTGAATATGTGTACCAGGAAATTACAACTCTGAAATTCCTATTGTTTCTGGAATTGTATCCAGTAGGGGGATGAAGATGATGATGGTGGTGGTAGTGATGATGGTTGTTACTATTATATTTATTTGGGGAGCATGTAGTGGCACCTGTGTGGAGATCAGGATACTTGAGGGAATTGGCTCTCACCTTCATCACGTGGATCTGGGCTATGGTATTCAGTTTGTCGGGCTTAGTGACAAGAGCCTCTGACTACTGAGCCACCTCTCCAGCCCGCGCCGGTGTTCTCAATCTCTGGAACAGGCTCATTAAACCCTGAGGTGTGACCTGTGCCGTGTGCGTGTGCATCTTCATGTGTGACCTCTGACACTTCCTTCTGCTTTCCTGTTAAGGAAAAGGAAGTCTCGGTTGCCAGAACTGGTAATTCATGGCTGTAGTCCCAGCCCCTTGAGAAGATCCTAGCTCTCATATCACCTCGGAAAGCTTGTGTTTCTGTTTACAGTGTGATGTGATAGCTCATTGCCTTGCTTTTAGGATGGAGAATCACAGGTTCAAGGCCAGTCCAGCCAAACTAGTGAGACTCTTGTCTTAAAATAAAAATGACACAAAGGCTAGATGGGTCACCCAGATCACTAAGAGGTAAGAATGGTTCTTGATACAACCTTGAGTTTGATCCCATCTGGTGGAAGGAGGGAACCAACTTCCACAAATTGTCCTTGGACCTTCACACAGGCGCGTGCGCGCGCACACACACACACACACACACACACACACACGAATGTAATTAAATGAGAAAAGGCATGGGAAATGGCCCATTTGCTAAGCAGTTGCCTGTTGTACACAGAGCTTTGCATTCAATCCCTAATGCTACTCCCTACAAACATCTGTTATCATATCTTCGTCAAGCTTGTGGTTAAGCAAATGAGTATTGATACAGGGACTTAGTCAGCTTCAATTAAAAAAAAAACCTATTCATATTACATTTTCGGCCCATTGATCTTACAACCTATTGATGAGCTAGGTGCCATTGTAGGTCCTAGGGATGCAGTGGTGAACAAACATGGCCAAGTCCCCAGCCTTAGTGAGTTTTATCCTGGTGGGCAGATGGGTTGCAGAGCCAGCAGTGTGAAGATACTTTTCTGATGGAATACGTTGTGCAGAGACACAACTGAAATAGAATATACATGGTTGATATGTGGAGAGAAAGGTAAGAAATGAGATAAGAAGAAATGGAACTGCAATTGTGGAGGGCCAACAAGGAGGCCATGGGGATGGGAGTGGCATTCCGGAGGTCAGTGGTAGAATAAGGCAGGGTTTGAGCTGTTAGTACACATGATGCCATCTGACTGGCCTTTCTGTTTTCGGGGAAGGTGGACAAGCATGGACATAGGATGGCAGTCAGGGTACCACTACAGTAACCTCAGGGCAAGGGATGACCAATAGGTTCATAGAAACAATGAGGTAATAAAAGGGGCAGTAAGGAGAGAGAACCCCAGAAGGGTTGGAAGGAAGAGATCCATCTGACATGAGTTGCAGAGACGTGTCATCATCCACTGTTGTCATTGGTCTGGATCTTGGTAGGTAGGTAGAAGCGTGAAGATGGGTATTGTTGGCACAGAGCAGTGTTGAGGTGGAGAATGAGAAGTGGTTCAGCCAGTGTGACGGGAGAGGCTGTGAAATCATGATGGGCATGGGGCAGGTCTCAGCTGACTGTTGGTTTTCCCAGCGCAGCAAGCACATCGGTCACCCCAGAGCCAGGAGGCAGGAGGCTATCTGAAGGCATCTTGGGCACAGGGCAACAGAACGCCTCACATATGGTCAGTGGCTGTGGCTTAGAATAAGCTCTGTGAACAAAGTGCAGAGAGTTTGCTTTTGACTGAATGTAGCAATCCGAGCAGTGCAGTAGAGAGGGAAGCAGAGAGTAGGGTGGGAAGAGGTAGTCGGCAGTGGACCCCTGGCCCTAGTGGAGAATGAAGCGCCACAGCCTGCAGGAGGGAACTGTGAAAGCCGGAAGTGATGGCTTTATATGATGGTGATGCCTCACACCTGTATGTGAATGAAGACGTGCAAACAGGAGAATCGGCCTCATCTGTGCAGTAAGTTTGAGGCCAACCTAGGCTTCATGAGACTATCCCAAAGGAGAAAATAAATGAGGTTTGGCGGAAGTGCCTGTATTGGTGGAAAGCTCCGGGATTGACTTGGTGCCCTGGGCATGGATAGCCTTGGTCAGGTGCAAAGACGTGGGAAGGCAGGAGTCCCAGAATCAAGATGCGCGGGTATCATAAAAACCCTCAGGCACTGGTGACACTAGGGTATGTGCAGAGGGAGGGGGCCGTTTCCCAGACTGGCAAAGTCTTCATGGAATTGGGGGGAGGGGGTGAAACCCAGAGTGAAGGCAGGAAGGGAATGTTTTAGTGATGCACACATCATCTCGCTTGGACCAGAGCAGGGGCGTGTTTGCCTGAGAGATCCGCCACAGGCGCCTTCCACTGTGTGGGACTAATTGTTGCCTGGGTGTGGGCAGGCAGTGAGGTCACAGCAGCAGGTCCCAGAAAGTCTGGGTGAGAGGTGAACAGAGATACAGGAGGTGGCAGGGTGTGTGTGTGTGTGTGTGTGTGTGTGTGTGTGTGTGTGTGTGTGTGTGTGTGTGTGTGTACCTGTCCCTGAGTGCTGAGGTGGGATGCTTCTCTCAACTGTGGCACGGTGCCTGGGATATAGAAGATGGTAATGTGTGTTCCAATTGGATATATACATACATAAAAATAGCAAGTGAGAAATTAATCTCACCTCAAACCAACAAACAATGAAAAGGAGCAAAAGTTGGTCTTTGGAGGAAAAAGGATTTTTGGTAATAGTATAGTAGAGCCTAGGGCAAAATCATGTATCTAGACTGAAAAAAAGGAGATTATAAGCAAAGGCTGTGTGTGGAGGTGTGTCAGTCTTCCTACCTATATAAGTGGTGCATGTAATTTAGAAGTGGATTATTATTTTGCTTGCTAAATAGGATTCTTAACTTCATAAAATGTTAAAGCTTGGTCATTTATTATAAACTAAGTTTAAAAGATTAAAGTTGTAATATCCCTTTGAAGTTAATAGGCTTGACTTTCCAAGTCAGATGTCCAATTCTAGAGATTAGCTTATTCATTCAGTTAATACTTAGCACGCACAAACTGGAGATTACTGTCCCCGTGTGTATCTTCAGAGACTCACATGTGGTGATTAGCGGGTGTCTCTTTTAAGATGGACTTCTATATTGCATTACGTGTTGTTTTTCGAAAATGTCAAGGTGGGCTCCCAATCCAGGTTATTGTCAGCCATATCTGCAGACAAATCAGAAGTGTCTTGCCCGGAAAGCGTGTCCTGAAGCTACTAGACTGTTGTCACATGCCCCTTCTTGTTGTCGTTTTAGTGACAGCTATATTGTGCGTGTCAAGGCTGTGGTTATGACCAGAGATGACTCCAGCGGGGGATGGTTCCCACAGGAAGGAGGAGGGATCAGTCGCGTTGGGGTGTGTAAGGTCATGCACCCTGAAGGCAATGGACGAAGCGGCTTTCTCATCCATGGTGAACGACAGAAAGACAAACTGGTAATGACAGACACACATCACGGGAGTTAAAGTAACAATGACTGATTTCTGTTACAGCCCTCTTCCCTTTGGTCTTTCTAATATAACCTTCCCTTTTCAGTGCAGTCTCTTGGCCACACATTGTAGAGAGTGCATGCAATAAGGGTACTTGACCATCTTGTTTGCATCTTTGATTAATCAAGCTGTGCCATTTTAACGGGTATGAAAAGCAAGAAATGTCCTTCACTATTACAAGTCACCTAAGGACTTGGAATCAGGGTTTTCCATCTGAGATTTGGGTGGGAGAAGGTAACAAGCATCACCTAGCATTGGTTGCTTGTAAATAATTATTTGTCTGAAAGATTCCAGAGCTAGGGGCTGGGAAGATGGCCCAGAGTGTACAAGTGTTTGCTATACAAGCATGAAAACCTGAGGTTGGATCCCAGTAGCCAGATAAAAACACTGTGGCCATGCAGGTCTGTCACCCCAGAACTGTGGGGGTGGGGGACACACAGTGGCTTCCTGACCCAGCCCTAGCTCCAGGTTCACTGAGGCACCTCGTCTCAGAGGAATAAAATGAAGGGTGGTAAAGCAGGACGCCTGATGTCTTCCCCCAGCCTCCACTCACAAAAGGTGCACATAACCACACAAACACACCCAGCTTTTATTTCATAAGTAATTAGTAAAGTAAAAGAAAATCACGGAGAGCATTAGCCTGACACTTCCATAAGTAACTGTGTGTGCTTAGAAACAAATTCATGGGAAAGAGAGCCTTACCCCAAGGGTGGGATAACTTACAGTCTCATGGGGGAACTTGGATGGCCCATTACACAACGGCTTATTATAGGGAGGAAGGCAAACCGTCCAAGTCCAGTTTATTCTTTTGGGGTGGGGGTGGGGTGCCAGAGCTCAAACCTAGGACCTTGTTCATGGTGGGCATGTGCTTTAGCACTGAACTCCACCCCCCAGTCCAAGCTAATTGCCTTCCTCCCTACTCTTGCTGAGGCTTGAACCCAGAGCCTTGTACATGCTGAGCAAGCACTTTCTCTGCAGAGTGCTGTGTGTCCCCAGTCCTAATCCTTCAGACAGACTCCTCTGATCTACTTCCCATGGTTTTACGATCTGTATATTCCACTGTATATACAAGCCATCACATTGTCAGTCACTGTAGATTCTGAATGTGTAAGATCTCCCAGAGGAAATGCATACAGCTCTACACTTGAGAGCCTGGGCAAGTTTTATGCATGAAGTGTGAAGATATGCTCTTTTATTTTTTTTCCAAACCACTTCTTACAGTTGAAGAAAATTAGCAAATAGACAAGACAGAATAGTTTATAAATATCACAAATTAACCAAAATGCCACTGTACACTTAATTCACTCCTAAAAATTCTCCCCGTGTAGGCAGGGGACCACACTATAAAGAAAATGAAATGGCCACGTAGGGTGGTGCACACCTTTAATCCTAGCACTTGGGAGGCGCAGGCAGGCAGGCAGGCAGACCTCTATAATTTCAAAGCCAGCCTGATTTATACAGCAAGCTCCAGGCCAGTCTGCATAGTGAGACCCTGTCTCAAAACACAACACTCCCCACCTCCCAAATAATAAGAGCTTAGAAAAAGGTGGCTTGGCTACCGTGTGCCCACCATGTACCCCCAACTAAGCACTGGGTTAGCCCATTACTTGGGAGATGCTCAGGGAATGATTTCTTGTTCTTGGGGACCATATTTGATACGGCATTGCACAGATCCCAAAAGCAAAGCAGAATCACAACGCAGAGCTGTGCATATTTTCATTTTCACGCGCTTTTTGTCAGTTTGTAAAGAGCTTTGCATCTCGCTCACTTGTCACCTGTTTTCTCTTTAAGAGCTTTCCCACACTGTTCACACTAATGGGATGTTCCGATGTTAGACCCCCTCCTTAGTGCCCCCCCATCACTGTTGTACTATGAAGATACATTTAACTGCATTTCCCACATTTCATGGGTTTTTAAGAAATAATTTGGAGCTGGGCAGTGGTGGTGCATGCCTTTAATGCCAGCACTTGAGAGGCAGAGACAGGCAGATCTCTGAGTTCTGAGTTCAAAGTCAGCCTGGTCTACAAATTGAGTTCCAGGACAACCAGGGCTACTCAGAGACACACACTGTTTTTGTTGGGGGGGGGGGAATGAGAGAGGAGGGAGAGAGAGAGAAGAAAGAGCCTGATTTTCACAGGGGTACTGCTACTGTGAGATTTTCCTTTAACATTTTGAGGTCATATGTTTTAAATCTAATAACAGTGGTCTCCATTGATCACTTATGAATGACCTCATATGTTTTCCTGCTTGTTAAAAAACTTAACTTACAGCCAGCCAGCCAGATGGCCCAGTGTATGAGGGCACAGGCAGCCAACCCTAATGGTCTGAGTTCAATTCCTGGGACCCACATAGTAGGAGAAACGAGGTTGTTGTAAATTGTGCTTCAGGGCATATACCCTCCCACACATGCACACACCAAAAAACAAGTGTGTTTTTATTCTTCTTAATCATGACTGAAATATCTGTCAGTGTCCTTTGCATACTGGAACTTTACTCTTCGTATGTGTCCTCTCCTGGTGTTAGGAGGTATTTGACTTTGCTTTGCCTTATTACTGATAATAGATTTTAATAATTTGTTTCTTGCCTTTTCCATTTTCATTGGTGTTTTTATTCTACAGAATTTCTAGTCTGTCTTCTCGTGAAGGGCTCTGTATACTTAGGACTATCTCTCCTGGTTTTTCTCTGATTTGTTGTTGATTGTCAAGCTGGATAGTCTCCATTTCTGCCTTTTTGAGATAGGCTCTTCTGTAGCCCAAACTGGCTTTGTAGCCAAGGATGACCTTGAACTCCTAATCCTCCTGTCCATTCCCAAAAGCTGGGATTACAGGCATGTGCCACCACACCCAGTTTTAAAATAGCCAGACGAGACTGTCTCCCCCAGCCCCTCTTCCTTTCAAACTGCATTATGAATTTGTGTTTCCCCAGTGACTTATACATAGTAACTACAAATGTTTTCCTTTTTGTCCAAGGACCTGACATGAATAACAACCTCTGTTATATTGATGTCACACCCAAAGGGGAAGAAACTGTCTCCACATTATAATGTAGCGCATTGTTTCCCGAGTCCGTCATGGGCCACGTTTTCTATGTCCACTTCCCATGGATTTATGGGCCACCCTCAGTTTGTCCGTCTCTCCGCCCCTCTCCCTGCTCCCTTTGCTGTGACTCTACACTTCCGTACCTGGTGACATTTAAATCCCACACCCGTATCCCTGCTCCGGCTTTATTTTTCTAACCCCCACTTTGCTTGGTTCACTCCCATAAATTCTGGATTCCTGGCATCTGTTTGACCTCCCTGCTCCATAAGGCAATGCCCCTGCCCGTTAGAGCCCATGAACCTCAGGAGGAGCTCTGAAAAGGGGCAGGTTGTTGAAGGAACCCCCTTAAAAGGTGAGGGAATTGTGAGGTGGCTGAATTGGGGATGGAGGCCTAGTTTCCCATATTTCAGCCGGGCATGAAGTGCTCTTTTTAATAGGAGTGTGTGGGAAATTGTTCCAAGGTTGTAGAAGTCAACACGTGTGTGCGCGTGCGTGCGTGCGTGTGTGTGTGTGTGTGCATGTGCATCCTCACTCCCTTGCTCTGTATTGGAGTCTGTGAGTTTAACTGACTTTGCTTCTGCATATACCTATTCATATATTGTCAGAGAATTTTTGGCAATAGGGAAAATCAAGTTGTTCTGAAAAATTATGTATAAATTAAAACTTTCAGCCCTAGCTGGCCTGAAACTCACAGTATAGTCCAGGCTAATCTCAAACCCATGTTTGATCATCCATCCACCATCCAAATACTGGGGTTAAGAAGAAAGTCTGTTGGGATCATAGGTCCATGCCACCACACCTGCCCCCTCCCTTTTCTTGTAATTGTAGATATTCTTCCTAGATTGTATGTATGTATGTATGTATATATATATATATATATTATATATATATATATATATATTTTTTTTTTTTTTTTTTTTTTTTTTTGCGCTTTTACAGACAGGGCTTCTCTCTGTATGTAGCCTTGGCTGTTCTAGAGATCCACCTGGCTCTGCCTCCCAAGTGCTGGGATTAAAGGTATGTGTCCCCACTGCCTGGAGGGCTTGGACTTTAAGACAGGGATTCAGGCCCAAACCTTTAGGGGAAAATGAACTTGAACTTCTGATCCTCTTGCCTCCATCTCCTAAGAGTACAGGCATGTGCCGCCATGCCCAGTTTATCTGATGCTGAGGACCTGGGGCTTGTGGATGATAGCCTACAGACTAAACTACATCCCAGCCACACCTTCTTTTCATGCTCCCTTCCATGAAAACTGCTGCTTAGTCTTTCACTATGAGTGAATGTCTTACTCAGGCCTGGTTCTGGGGCACCCTGATGTGGTTGCCTGGAGAAGAGAACGTGGGTTTTGCTGAGCTTAGGCCAGTATTCCAGATGGTGACACATTTCATCCTACAGTATAAAAAAAATATTTCTTTTAGCTTTATATTCATTCTTTGTGGATAGGAAGGCACCAGGATTGAGTTATAGCCCCAGCCCTTTCTTCTGGTTACTTAGCCCTTACTGGCCTTAAATTTGCAGTCCTTATGTATCAGCTTCCCTAAAGCTAGATTACAGTCGTGTGCTACCACACCCCCAATACGTATGTATCCTCCTCCCCCACCTCTTGCTCATTAATTATTTAATGACTCTTGTACACACACAATGCATATTTGAAAGTCAGAGGACAGGGCTGGAGAGATGACTCAGCAGTTAACAGCACTGGCTGCTCTCCCAAAGGACCCAGGTTCAATTCCCACATGGTGGTGTCTGTAACTCCATTTCCAGTGAATCTGGCACCTTCATACCAACATACACATGAACAAAACACCAGTGCACATAAAAATAAATAAAATCTTTTTTAAAAAAATGAAAGTCAGAAGATGGATGGCTCAACAGAGAGGACCTGAGTTCCATTCCCAAACATGGCAGTTCATCATCCAAAACTGCAGTCCCACAGGCTCTGACCTTCTCTTCTGGCCTCCACAGACACCAGACAGTCATGGTACACAGACATACATGCAGACAAAAGACCCATACATACAAAGTAAAATAACAATTGAACAAAAGAAAAGTATTTAATTATTAGTAAACTGTCCAAAACTCTGATTTTTTTTTTAACTTGAAGGTTGTTTTGGGGGTGGGGAGACTCCAGTTATTTGAGGCAGCAGGCTCAGTTTGCTCATTTTTAAGAAAACCTCTGCCAAATACCCAATTAACTATGCATGGTCTATTGGTTGATCTTTTAATTAAAATGATGGTTCACAGGGAGTGAGACCTGCACCTGCTGGCACATGCCTGTAGTCCCAGCACTTGAGACTTGGAGGCAGGGAGATCAGGAGTTTGAGGTCAGCCCAAGGGCATCCTGGGCTACATAAGAGACGCTGTCCAAAAGTGAGGAGAAAGGAAAAAAGTCAATCAGCCTGTAAAGGAGCCCAGCTCACAGTTGAGACTGTGGTACCAGCCAATATGGGGGCAGGGTTTCTGCTTCTCTGGTCACAAGAGGGAGGGTTTAGGAATCCCACCCTATTCTGATTGTACATATGTACAAGCCAGGCTGTCTTCATTGCTGTTGCTACCAGAGTAGCCTGCTACCGGAGGCTGAATATAGAAAAGCCAGTGAGAACCCAATTGTGTGTACTTCTAATTAAGCCACGAAATAGAGGGTTTAGGGCATTCCTGGGTAAAGAAAACTGGCACTGTGCTTGGTGATGGCTCTAAGAAGCACACTGCTGCCATACTGCCTCTTTGATGCTGCTGTAGGGCAGTGTAACTGTCCTCCCTTTCCTGCAGAATGCCCGCACAGCATGAAGATGGCAAAGAATGCTAGTGTGATGCTCTCTCGCTTAGGACTACATTAAGGAGGCTCTTGGAAGCCCACAGATCAAACTCAGGAAGCTTTATGTGTAACAGTATAGTGGTAGTGTTGTTTGTGAAAGGGGCCATTTGTATGGACCCTGGTTAATGAATCCATATCTGTGCAGGGGAATCGTCTCACAGCCACTGAGCAGAACTGTTATGAACTCCTCTCTCTAGAATGTTGAGTGTCTGTTTTTCTCTCTCTCTCTTTCTCTCTCTCTGTCTCTCTCTCTCTCCCTCTTCGTGTGTGTGTGTGTGTGTGTGTGTGTGTGTGTGTGTGTGTGTGTGTGTGTGTGGTGCACACGCACTAGAAATCAAATCCAGGGCCTTAGACATGTTAAATACATGCTCTTCCTCTAAGCTGCATAGATACATACACACTCCCTAAGAGGAAAAAAAATTTTTTTTTGAGACAGGCTTTCTCTGAGTAGTCCTGGCCATCCTGGAACTCATTCTGTAGACCAGGCTGGCTTCGAACTCACAGAGATCCACCTGCCTCTGCCTCCCAAGTACTAGGACTAAAGACCCTGCTAGGCATGATTTTTTTTTTTTTTTGATTTTTTTCATGTATGAATGTTTTCATGTTTTTATGTGAATTGCATGTGTGCCTAGTGCCCATGGAGGTCAGAACAGGGATTTGATCCCCTATAACTGTAGTTACAGATGGTTGTGATGCCACCATGTGGGTGCTGGGAACCAAATCTGGGTCCACTGCAAGAGCAAGAATTATTCTTAACAGCTGAGCTGTCTCTTTAGCCCTCCCACCCCAAGACATAACTCAAAGGAAAACAAAAGACAAGATGCAGAAGTAGTTCATAGTAACATCCCTAATGAAACACACACTTTTGGACATTTGTACAGAAGGAACAAGGGGCCAGGGCCATGCCCGCCATGACAGTGGGAAGTAAGTCTGAGGGACACCGGTAAGGAGCGGGAGAAGGCTGGAGCCCTTCTGGTATTCGTGTAAATTACCTAACTCTTGGCTGGGGCAGGGCCTCAGTTGTCATGCACACTGTGGCAATTTCATCCCCAGCTTGGCTTGAACTAGGCATGGTGACACTACCTATAATCCTAGCATGCAGGAGGATTTGGAAGCTCATCTTTAAATACATGAAGAGTTCAAAGCTACCAAAAAAGACACAGTTAGACAATGATAGCCAAAGGCCGATTTTTTTCCCATTCTAAAAATATGGGAAAATTGAGTCTCTTTGTTTTGGCAAAGGAAAAAAAAAATAGTAACTTGAAACTTTGAATTGAAGCCTTTGGTTTCTAAAGTAGATGACATTTGTTAGTTGAATCCTTGATTATTTGAACTAACCCAGTTTGGAATGAAGCTGGGCTGGCATTTAGTCATTGTGCTATTCTTAGGGGAAAATGACCATGACAAGCAATTTGATCATAAATAGAATTTTAGGGGGCTGTCCTCTTCAATACAATGCTATAAAATTAACACTCAGTACTGCTGTTAATAAGCCAATTTGACTATTGTTATTGATTTAGAGGAAGTTATAAGCAGTATTTCATTTCTTATTGCTTTGACATATTCTTGAAATTTGCTCCATTCTTTAATTTAGATTTACCCTAGTTTAGGTAAACCCTTCTTCGTGCCCTTCATTTACCCTAGATTAACAAGCTCACATTGTGTTAATGGCAGCGCTTTGCTTTACAAGGTCAAGGCTAAGAAAACCTAGCACAGTCACTTTGGTGTTTGTAATAAAGTTATTAAACAGTTTGGGATTTTTATTAATGAGAACATGAAGTTGATTATAAAGTTTCTATGACATGAAATAAATGTTGGTCCCATCATCAAGAATGCTGTATTAGAAGGGGAGTTATGCTATAATATATCTTGCCATCCAAGTAGGGGAACAAGATGAATACATAAAAACCTATTAGAGAATATTGAATCAGGTGCAAAGTTAATTGTGAAAGTAGTAAGTAGAATTTGAAATGTCCTGAGGAGTCAATGTGACGCTGTGCAGTTTCTCAGTGTTTTCAGACCACGTGCTTGTTCTCGCTGTTAACATTGGTGGTGTTTTCATCGGGTAAACAGGACTAGGTTTGATCTAAAGAACAAAAGCCATTCCTTAGACTCAGTCATTAGGAACACGGAGTGTATGCTAATAATTCCAACATGCAGTTAGTAATAACACCCCCAGATTAGAACTGCAGCAACTGAAGGGGCGGGGGCTGGCATACACACAGGAAATGGACCTGGTGACTAATGGCGTAGGGAGACAGAGAAACAGAGGCAAAGATAGCCACAGAAGTTTTGAGCCAGAGGAATGAGCAGGCAAGGGTTGACATGACCAGATATGAGGAAGTTGGGAGAGATTAATTCATACTCAACTTGTTGAGTTCACAGACACAGGGAGACACCCATTGAGACCAGGCAGGAGACAACAGTACAGAAGCCTCAGCACTGTGGGGACAGGAGGAAGAGGAAGAGTGTGGTAGGACAGTGGGGCTTAGCAGAGCCCATGTGCAGGGAGCAGCAAAGCTGGGTGCTCAGTGGGAGTCACCTGTCTCCTCCAGGTAGAGAGGGACACACATGAAGGCCTGGGGTTGCTGTCCTGTTAGCTGCCATCAATGATGGTTCTCAGTTAGGTTTACAAATAGACACTGTCATGGATATCCCACAAGTAACCAGCCTGTTTTTCAATCCTTTAGGTGGTATTGGAATGCTATGTCAGAAAGGACTTGGTCTACACCAAAGCCAATCCGACGTTTCATCATTGGAAGGTTGACAATAGGAAGTTTGGTCTTACTTTCCAAAGCCCTGCAGATGCACGAGCCTTTGACAGGGGCGTGAGAAAAGCCATTGAAGACCTTATAGAAGGTACTAAATTTGTCACTGCACCCTTAGAGGGACTGTCGGATATCCCGGATTCTTTTTCATTCCCCCAGTCTGCTGTCTTATATCCGTGATTTGTTTGCAAGAGGGTTTGGGACCATCATGAGATGCCAAAACTTTGAGAACACCTGAGGTGAACAGTTAGAGAGAACACAGGGAAAGGTGAGGGGTTTGGAGTGAGTGGCCTAGATGGCTGAGAATGTACTGGCAAACAGCAAGGGGACTGCTCTGGGTTTCCATGTGGGTAGGATTCACCCATTTCACTGGCGTTGACCATCGAAAGGGATGCTGGCTCTTGAGAGTGTTTACTATAAGTAGCTAGTGTGTAGCTTGAATGGGTCCATTAGAAGAGCATAAACTGGAGCTGGGAGATGACTCAGCCGTTAAGACCTGTGGCTGCTCTTGCTCAGGATGCAGGTTAGATTTCCAGCACTCTCAGCACTAAAATTTGGCTAATGAGCATCAGTAACCCAAGTTCCAGGGAAGCCAGTGTTCTCTTCTGGCCTCCACAGGCACTGCACACATGGGGTACACCAACTTACATGTATGCAAAATACCTATGTATAAATATATGCATATATATATGTGTGTGTGTGTGTGTGTGTGTGTATATATATATATATATATATATATTGTTTTTTTTAATTTTAAGAATCTAAGCCAGCTGGGCACACTTGGGAGGCAGAGGCAGGCAGATCTTTGTGAGTTCAAGGCTAGCCTGGTCTACAAAAAGAGTTCCAGGACAGCTGGCTAATAAGAGAAACCCTGTCTTGAAAAACAAGCAAAAAAAAAGGAAAGAAAAATAAAAGAAACTAAGCCACATATTTAATTTGAAACATAGATTAACAATCTGGAACGCTACACAGTACAAATAAAGTACTTTTCTTGTATGCAAATGTATATAAACAATATAATCCTATTTTTCTTTTTGTTATATTGTTAAGGACAATAGGGTTCTAATACAATTTCAAGTTAATATTTAAAATTTTTAAATGTATAAAGTGCTAGATGTTATGGCACTCACCTTTAATCCCAGCACTCAGGAGGCAGAGACAGGAGGATCTTTGTGAGTTTGAGGCTAGTCTAGTCTACATACCAGGTACCTGGCTATAGCCAGGAGCCAGGACTATCTAAATAGATAGAGAGACCCTATCTAAAAGGAAGGAAGGGAGGGAGGGAGGAAGGAAGGAAGGAAGGAAGGAAGGAAGGAAGGAAGGAAGGAAGGAAGGAAGGAAGGATAATGTGCAAGCCTGACAACTTGAATCCCATCCCTGGGAGGGTGCCAGTCCCTGGAATGTGCAATGGGGCATGGGGGTAACTCCCATAACTTACATCCAATCACTGTGCTCAGTCATGCCTGCACTCACTCACAAACAGGTGCTTTAGTATTGTTATTATTATTAGTTTGAAGAAAGTGCTTTTCAAATACTTTTAGTTATTGACAGCCTCCAGCCATTACTAGTAGTAATGAATTATTTTGTACAGGAGAAATACTTGGAGAGAGAAAGCATTTCATTACTGAATTTATGACCTTGATTAGAAGATAGTGAAATGGGACTGGACAGATGGCTCAGTGTGTTAGAGTACTCACTGTTCTTCCAGAGGACCAAGGTTTGATTCCCAGCACACACGTATTAGTTCACATCCATCTGTCACTCCAGTTGCAGGGGATCCTCTTCTGGCCTCCCAGGACACCAAAAGCAAAATTAGTACACAAACATGCAGGCAAAACATGACATAGACGTTAAAATTGTTTTAAGTAAAGAAGATAGTGAGACGGTGATGTCATGAAATGGTAATTCAGCCTGTTTTTAACTGTTAGGGATTTTGCAGGGACAATCTGCTACAAATAGCAATGATTGTCTCTGCCTGGGGTGCATGACCTCAGCCTGGAAAAGCCTTAGGCCACAAACATTCAGCTTCTCTGCTGATCCACAATTCAGTTACGAATCAGTATTTAAGGTGCTGAGACATGGTAACACCAAAGTCAGGATGGGAAGAAATGATCACCAAAGAATATTCTGCGTTTGCTTACGAAGTGAGGTTGGAGCTAAGGAGATGTGTCAGTGAGTAATGGTGCTTGCCCTGAGCCCGACAACCTGAGCTTGATTCCTGGAACCCACACGGTGGAGGGAAATGACCATTTTGCACAAGGTGTCCTCTTACCACAGAGAGATCTTGTTCTCTCTCTCTCTCTCTCTCTCTCACACACACACACACACACACGATTTGTTTTTGTAAAGACTGTTTCTCTTTAGGTAAATCTATTGAGTTGACCCTCACATTCTTGGCTCCTTTTAGTGGGAGAATTGGGTCTGCTATATTGATATGCAGACTGGATAAAAAGGTGAACAAGAAAGTTGAACTTGAACCTCTAGATCATTTCATGGTGGGATTAGCTGGATTTTGTAGCAGAAACTTTATTTTTACCTGGAAAGCAAAGCCAAGTCCCTGGGCTCTGGTAGTGTCTGAATTCAGGATTGGAGGGGGGGGGGGTCCTACCTTCTCTGGGGCTGGGTAGGTCTAATTCTGAGATCTTTGGTGTTCCCCTACTCTGCTGGGACCTTTAGGTCACTGAGAGCCTGGGCCTGCAGCAAGCCTTTCAGAGCAGGCAGATTCTCTCCACCTCCCACACGGTCCCCTCCAGTGCACGGTCCCCTCTGGTGTCCTGGGAGGCCAGAAGAGGACATAACAGCAGCAGGCAAAGTCAGTTTAGGGAGCATCATGGCTAGAGCCAAGGGGAATGAATTAAAATACTGAATTCCCATGGGATTCTATGCTTTCAATATACTGAAAGAATGGGAGGTAGTTTTACTAAAATATACTTTTTCTGTAAGTGTGGGGATAATAGTCAGTGATAGAGTGCCTCTGGTGTACATGAGGCCTAGGGTCAATCCCTAGTACTGCCAAAATAAAGGAAGAAAGATAATATGCTCTTAAGGGCTGGGGATGTGACTCAGGGCTACGTAGATGTGACCTGCCTGGCATACTTAAGTCCTAGGTCCAGTCCTCCACACTAAAGGAAGGAGAGAAGAAAAAAAAAACCTGCCACCACACCTAACATGTTTCAAGTGACTGAAGTCAATTATCCACAACTTGGTTGATTTGATTACATTCTTGTCTTTTTAGGGTCAACAACCTCATCTTCCACCATTCATAACGAAGCTGAGCTAGGAGATGATGACGTTTTTACAGTAAGTTCCCTTTGTCCTTTGTTTTCCATATTAGATGAGTACGAGGAGGTTGCCCTTAAGGACACTTTGTGGTGTGGCATTTGCCGTTGCTTTGAGGCTGTTGTTATAGAAAACTCTATTGTCCTAGTTTTTTACATTCTGGTCTTGACCCCTTGCTCATACTTGCAGAGATACTGTGCAGCCCACACTCCCAGATCATCAAAGTTTCATCCTATACTTTCTGGGTTTTTTCTGATTTCATTTCCTGTTTGAGGTGTGTGTGTGTGTGTTTGGTTTTTTTGTTGTTGTTGTTTTTGTTTTGGTTTGGTTTTTTTATGAAAAAATCTAAAGAATGGCATGGTGACTGCTTGTGTATAGCACCTAGCTTCCGTAGGGTTCCTAGTTGTGCCCCTGGGACTCTCCTAAAGTGTCCTGACAAACTAAGGACAACAAGGTCATTCTGGCTCACAGTGTATGGTTGTTATAGGATGTCAAGACAGGGAAGTCATTATAGCAGAGAGACAGCAGGTCACACTGTATCTGCAGTGAACCCTGATGCTACTCCTCACCTAGACACCATCCTGTTACTCGGTCCAGGACCCCAGCCAGAAAATGGTTCCGCTCGTTTCTTGGGTGGATCTTCCCATCTCATTAACCAAATCAAGATAATGCTTCATAGGCACATCGCTTTGCTAACCTAGTCTAAAGACTAGCAGGTACAGTTAGTCTCTTACTAGAGCCTGTCAAGTTGACATTCAATATGTTACTTTTCCATTTGTATTTATTGTTACTGTGTTTGTATCTGTGCAAGATGTGTGCGTGCAGGCAAGCATTCAGGTATGTGTGCCAAAGTGTTCTACGTGGGGTCTGTTCTCTCCCACTACCTTTATGTGGGGTCTGAAGGATCAAACCTGGGTCTCTAGGCTTGTGTGGGGAACTCTTCTCTGGCAGTCATCTCGTGGGCCAAAAATGAGTTGGCCATAAGCATGCCAATGTGTGTTCACACACACACACACACACACACACACACACACACACACGTGTTCTGTGTAAATTCCCTGCTTTTTTATTGCTTGGTTAATTTTTGTGTATATGTTTGTGTGTGTGTGCCTGCACACACATATACTCTGCATGTATTTGGGTGCCAGTGGCTGCCAAGAGGGGGACTCTGTCACCTGGTGCTGTAGTTAGAGTGATTGTGAGCCACCTGATGTGGGTGCTGGGAACCACACTCCCTTCCTCTAGAAGCCGGCTCTGATGTCTTTATCATGCATCCCATTAAAAAATAATGTCTAGTCACAGAGGACTTTTAGGGTGGACAATCTATTCTGACGCTCTAATAGTAGACACATGCCCCTGTACATTGTCCAAACCTATAGACTGTGTAACACCTACACTGAAGCATAGGGAAAACTCAGAGTCGGGGGGGGGGGGGGAATAATGTAGGTATGAGTTCTTTGATTTTGTGGTTGCCGTTTTGTTTTGGGAAAGGGTTTCACTGTGTAGCCCTGACTGACCTGGAACTTGTTTTGCAGACAAAGCTGGCCTTGAACTCACATAGATTCATCTGTCTCCGCCTCCTACTGCTGAGATTAATAAACCTGGATGGTTTATTGATTTTTTTTTTCTCACAAAAATCACACAGTCTGGTGGTCGACATTGCTCATAGGAGAGATGTATAGTTTGAGGCAAAGTATGTATGTGGAAGCTTGGTACCTTTAGCTCAGATTCATTTATTTATAAACCTAAATAAAATAGGAAATAACATTGAATGAAGGTATTTAAATATAATATAATATAATAAGGCTTCCTCTACACAGAGCACTAAAATTTCATGACGTTGTCTAAGATCTTCTTTATGATTACCCAGTGGCCTCCAAGACTACCTTTTGTAAGCTGTTTTTTGTTTGAATTTCACATTTTAAAATGTGAGGAATAATTTATTAAATTTGTTTCTCTGCAGTTAGGGTTTGTGGCCATTGCTGTCAAAAACATTGCTTTGGGACTATACAAGTGTGTGAGCCCAGGTGATAAAGATCGCAGAACTAATGCCAGGGCTTGCAGAAATGAGTTTGATCCACGGGAAGCCTAAGAATGGTCAGAGGCAGGCAGTGGCTGGTAGCCATCTACACATGAGGCAGCAGGTCAGAAAATACCTCACTGTGAGGGGTGGCTGAACGGGACTTCACTGACATCTGCACAGGGTTTTAGGAAGGAAGGAGTCTAGGGAGCTATGGAGCATCGTGGTCCAGATGCGCAGAAACACCGTGTAGTGGGGCCGTCAGGAAGCAAACTCTGTTGTGCTTCCTTGGAGCTAGCGGCTGGTAGATGGGGCTGAACAGGCTTCCTCCAGTGCAGTGAGCAGATCCTCTCAACAGTTGGCTTGTGCTTACATCTGTTCCTTTGTCTCGTTTGGGGAGGCAGACAACAGCGGGGAGGTTAAAGGTGGTTTCCTGTGATCCAGAGCAAAAGTGTAATTCACAGCTGCTTCCCGGCTACCTGCCAGAAGTGATTTATGGGCTAAGGAAGGGAAGGGTGACAGAAACCAGAATCCCCTGAGTTTTGTCCTGTAAGCCGCGCTCTGGGGAAAGATGCCCATAACAGACTGCATTCCATGTAGAGCTGGTATATAGGGTCACTTGCCTGTTTACAAACATGGACCTATTCATAACAGTACCTCCCTTCCCCAGGAAAGGCCTATATTTATTCCCAGGCTGTTGACTGTGGGAAAACGGGGTGAGGGGGGTGGCGGCCGGCATGCCAGATTCCTGTTCATTGACCAGCTCACTATAACTAGACATTCCATCCCAAGACAGTAAAGGAGTGTGAGCCAAGGAAAAAAGCAGACGCTTCACAGCCTGAGTTCGGCACCTTCCAAAGGCGGACGGTATTCTCAATAGTTTTTTGGAAGACAAATCTTTAGAACTTGGAATTCCTATCAGAAAGGATGTAAACACTGCTGAGTGTCCCTCTTCTGATTCTTGAATTATAGTTGTTTTCATTTGGAGCCCTCAGAGTTATGCCCGGAGATGCCAAGCATGCGTGATTTCTGTCTCTGCCATTGGAGCCAGACATTTCCCTAGTTCTCAGGATTCCTTAGGGCCTGGGGGACACTGTGTGGGTGCTTAGGAGCATACACACTGCTGAACTTTGTACTAGGGACACCAGTCGGAGTGTGTCCCCCAAGGATTCACTTGTTACAGCTTCGTCCCCAGTGTGGCTATGTTGATAGTTGGTGGACCTTTTCAGGAATGGGGTCTGGTGGGAGGGGTTAGGTCCCTGAGGTCACTGAAGAGATTGATGCTGTTCTTATGAAACCCTGGCTGGGATTCAAGAGAGAGTTCTTGGCCATCCCCTTCCTAGCCTTTTCATCTGCCCCTGACCAGAGCCTACCCAGTGCCAGCACTATGATGTTGAACCTCTAGACATTGAGATAAGAGCTCTGTATAGAGTAGCCAGCCTCACCAGGTGCTGTTTAATCCAAGCACTTGGGAGGCAGAGGCAGGTGGATCTCTGTAAGTTCCAGGACAGCCAGGGCTGTTACACAAACAAACTCTGTCTTTAAAATAAATAAATAAATAAAGTGGCCAGCCTCTGGTGTTTTTTGCAATGAAAAATAGACAGTTACATGGAATAAACCTAGACAAAGGGACACCCTCCCCCTTGCTGCCCTGTGAAGTAGTCATGTGGCCTTATGAATTTACAAAGCAGTGGCTGTCCCTGCCTCAACACTTTGCCAACCATCACAGTGATCCTTGGAATCGAACTTGTCCTATTCACTTCTCAAAATGAGAAACTGGACTGTTCCTGTGGGAAGATGCCTGCCTGAGTACATTGTCATTTGCCAACGTTGTTGTCTGTTCTTCCTGTCCCCGACTCCTCCTAAGTCTGTCCCCTCCATCTCATTACACAAGCCTATACCTGTCCTGCCAGACGCCCCACCAGAAATCTTGACTAGTTACTGCTCTGCATGACATTTTGTTATGTATTTTGATTCTTGGATTGTCTTTTGCTCTGTGTGCGCCTGCATGCGTGTATGCGTGCATGTGTGCTCGGGATCAAAGACAATGTGTGGGATTCAGTTGTCCCCACCATATGGATCCAGGGATCTTCACCCAGTGAGGCACATAAAGAATACAAAACAACAAAGCTGGAGATACAGCTGCTGTTAGCTGGTGTGAGGGCCTGGGTTCTGTGTGCAGCCATGCGGCGCAGCAGAGAGGCCAGCTGGTCTGGGGACTTGCTGGCCTTGCTGAAAGTTGACTTTTTTCTCTTGTCCCTTCAGCGCCTTCCTTCTTGCCCTTTTATCCTTTTCTTGTCCCTTCAGTCCTCTTTTGCTTCAGAGCTGAAAGACTTGTATTCGGCCTGCCCTGCTGAAGCAAGTTTTTGTTGCACTGTGGCAACTGGCCAGTCCTGTAAAACTTGGGCTCCTGGCACTTCAGCCCCGTGGACACACCTAGCCAGTTGGCTCTTCAGCTGACTTCCTCCTGGACCCCTGCAGCTCAGGGCTCAGAGGCAGAGAAAGAAGAGGTGGGTGTGGTAAGGAGAGAGACTGAGGAGACCAGAGATACTCCTTGGCTCGGTAGCCATCTTAGCAAATGTTTCCAAACTGTTCTCGGGAAGATTCGGCCCATTAAAACCCAGTGACTTGCAAGAGCTAAAAATAAGGTGGGAAGAGTGGAAACGGGCTCTCTCGGCCTTCTGCATGCTATGCTGTAGACAGTCTTGACTTCCAGAAAGCAAGGACGAGTGTGAGGAAGAGGAGGTGAGGGACAAAGCAGGCCAGCAGAGGTGGAAGAAAAGGAAGTGCCCACCTTTTAGCTACCAGGTGCCTCTTCTCCCCATTCCTTCCCCTTCTCTGGGCTTAAAGAAATCGGAGTTCAGCCAAGAGTGTATGCTGTAGCCCTGGGCCTCTTTGGCTGTCACTGCACAGCACAGTCACGTATGTACCCCATCCCTGACAACATGGATTCAGAACCATGTACTCATGTCCCTTCAGTTAAATGCCTGTGTGTGACCTG